GGGGGGGGGGGGGGGGGGGGGGGGGGAAAGGACCATGGAGATGGTTCCAAGTAATATCCCTCATTACCAGACTTACAAGTGATGGGCTAGATCAGGACTGGAGTGCCACTGAGCCAGTCCTACGTCACTCATCAGAGAAAAAGAGAGACATCTTTTATCTTTTTTTTTCAGTGCTGACTTCCTCCCTAATTCTGATGGAAGCAGGAAGATCCTGCAAACACCACTATTTGCTATGCCATGTGTGTTCGCCAATTTCCAGGAGGAGAAAGTTTCTTGGAATCCTCAAGATACATTAAATGTGTAGAGTCTAGTCCCATTGTGTTTCTTATTGTTATTTTTAACTTCAAGGCTGCTTTCTTGCTATCAATTTTCCCTGTGTGTGTGTGTGTGTGGCATCCCTATAGCCATGCTGTGTGTTTTTTTCAAAACAACAAAACACCATTAAAAAAGTGTTTTGCTTCATCCTCTAACTTATTAGCATATCTTGTTTCCCAGACTCAAGATCTGGAATGAGAAGGCTTCTAAATTCCCAATGATGAACCCTATCATTGGGCATGCAAGTTCCCCCCAACAGAGACTGAATACAACCCGTAGATCCTCTGCATAGCTCCCAGAGTTTGCAATCCGGAGGCTGAAGGTGGGGGCTGGCGGGGGTTGGATGCAGTGCAGGCAGAAGGAACACCTTTAGCCCTTGATTCTTCTAGGAAAAGACATCTGCAGAAATTAATTTTCAGATTCATTTTTCTGCAGCCTACAGGACCACAGAGATTTTGATGGCTAGATTTAAGTACCCCAAACCAACCAGTTTCTATCTGATACTGTATAAAATTCCAGTTATTTAGATGGAACTAGTCTGCATCTACCTACTGTATAGGATATAAGTAGAGTTAAGAAAATAGGATAAGGATCTACAGAGTGAAATGCTACTGCCAGCAACCTGCTTTTTGGGGTCCTCCTTGAAATAATATTCATCTTCTCACAGTTTTCCGACAGTATTGGCATCCATATTCAGTTTTGCCAAAAGGTACTTCTTTTCTGCTTTAAATTGTTCCTTATTCATCTCCTAAGGGAAGGGGGAATCCCAGGTCTCAGCTGTATTTAAGACATTGTTAAAATACAACTCCCAGGAAGGCCCACATATTTCCTGGTCTTGCCTTAAGCAGTCTATGTTTTAGAACTCTGCTAGGGAACTGCATAGAATACTAATGAACATGTTACCCACATTTTTGCAATGCCTGAATTAACAAAATTAATAGCGATTACAGCCTCCGTGTCCTAACCCATTTTCTGAATGTTCAACAAATTTGCATCTGTAGTATGATCAGGGCAATGTGTCCACATGCTGAAGTCATTTTGCTGTTTGTGTTGTTTGTTTTTTACTATTAAGCATTTAATACCAATCCTGTAAATTCTTTTAATCATACAACAGACAAAAAAAGTTTTATTAATTGATTTTAATAATATCATGTCCTCTTGAACAGGCAATTAAGAAACGTGGAAAATTATACTAAAACACTATAGATTGTTTTGAGTTAAACTTGCACTTTAACTATTGATTTCACTTTTAGTTAACACCTTGAGCATTATGCAGAACATGGAAGCTACACAGTTCCTACAGAGAGCTTCTAAGGCTACAACTCTATGTATTTTTACTTGGGAATAAGGTCTAAATCAGCCTGTAGGTGGTCAGAGTAAATGGCAAAAGAAATGAGTAGCAATGATATTACCAGCTGACCCTTAGTATGATAAATATGTATGTATGTATGTACATTTTCTGAGTTCTCCACACCTCCCTTCCTTCTTGCAGCACCGCTGTCCTTTCAGTGTTCTGATGGATTGTGCGGCTTTCGCCAGCTGAACATAAAGAAGATATTACAAAAGAATTGCCCCCATAAAAAAACCATAATGAACATATTTTGGCAATTATACATCCATGCATTACAAAAGGCTATGTATTTACATTTAAAACAAGTAGGCAAAACAAAGATATGCTAATACAAAAGTACAACTGGAACTTCAGCAGACTGTTCTCTTGTTTAGTTTTGCTTTCCACATAGGTCAGTTTGCAGACCCGAGAATGAGAGACTATTGTTTATCTAATGCGAGACTATTGTTTATCATAAACAAGTTTGTAATGCAATAGAGTTGTTTTTAAAATGTGCAGGCCAATTTCTATTTCTATTAAAACTAAGAGAAATGAGACGGGTGTCACATTTTCTCAGTTTCGGTGGGTATGTCATTTGTTCCTAACCTCTTCCTAACTAAACCATTTGTGTACTTAGTGAAGTCCTGTTCTGACTGATGATGCACTCAGGTGCATAGAGGTTTGCCATGTTGGCTTCTGCTTCCTCGTTCTTCTTAATAACGATGTTATGGCCTAAATTTGGGATCTTCTGCAATGAAAGCAGGTGCTTTACTACTGAAATTTAGTCACAACAGCAACACAGATTCCAAAAATTTTCAGTCACCATACTTGAACATCCAGTTCTGGGAGTTGCAGTCCCAACACATCTACAGTTGGCAGGTTGGGGAAAGCAAGTATGTGTGTATGTATGTATGTGTGTGTGTGTGTGTGTGTGTGTGTGTATATGTATGTATGTATGTGTATGTATGTATATGTGTATATATATATATATATATATATATATATATATAAGCAATAATGCAATCAAGAAGTTTTTTTTTTTTTGAACATTTGGTTTCTGGTGGTATGTGTGTCTAGTGGATTGAATCTAAACAGGCTTTAGCAGGATTTCTCTCACGCTAAGGAATGAAGGAAGGCAGCAGTTGTCAATTCGTCTTCCCCTCTGCCAGTCTTTGAGACCGTGCCCCTAAAAGCAGGCCCCAAAAGGCTGGGGAGCAGCCTCCAAAGTAATATAGGAGGAGTTCCGGAGGTCTGCAGGAGGAAGTCAATACTGATTAAAAATAAATACTGTAAATTGGTGAATGTTTGATTAAGGCAATCCAGTTATTATTTACCTATAAAAACTAGTAGTAAAAAAACAGCTCTTTCTTGGTATCAAGAAAAAGTTGTAAAAAAAATCTAATAAATCCACATTAACAAGAATTGAGACCAATTTATTATTTTTAATAGTTCTTATTTATTTTTAAGCTGCTAAACCTCTGTGTTGTATGTTGGGCTTGTGCTGATAGGTGGGTCTGTATGCTTTTTTGGACCTCTAACATTCAGGGACTCCATGAATGACCCTGCTGCTGTTTATAGGAGGTTTTAATAATATTCAGGTTTGACATTTCCCAAAATATGATCTTCATAGAGGGGAAGGCAACAAAAGAAGAATCCAAGACCTATTGCCATGAGGCACATGGTCCACCCAAAACCATAGCTCCAATCAAACACATGCACAGTATTTACTGGGAAGATCACATGCGTTGAAATCATTACAGCATAGATGACAAGGCCCATTAATGAGAATATAGCTGCAAAAAATCAAGAGGTAAAAAAAAAAGTTACTAACACATGAAAACAGGAAAGAGAACAGAATGGATTGTACATTTTTAAAAATGGCCTTGGGAGAATTCTGGGTTCTGTTGGCGTTCTACTCCCACAGAGTTTCTATTCTACTTGCACAATCTATCTAATATTGTGATAAAATGAAGCTGTCTTATACTGTCAGGTAGATGATTCATGCAGTCCAGTATTTGGTAGCATCATAAGATCCAGCTTGTGACTTGAGACCATTTTTAGGTGGAGAGGCTGAAGGTTAACTGGAAGCAAAGCATGTTCTTTACTGCTATCTATCTATCTATCTATCTATCTATCTATCTATCTATCTATCTATCTATCTATCAAATTCATATCTGCCACCCATCTCACTATACAAGCTAAGCTATAGATTAGTAGTTTAGTTTATAGTTTAGCTTGTCTAATGTTGGGTTTGAAGTTCTGAGAGGAAATACCACAGAAACGGTGATGTGAGATTCTGGATCAAATTTTGCACAAGAACAATGAAGGTAAGCATATACAATTTAATCTTTCCACACTAAAGTTAACTGTATGATAGACAAGCTTTTGAGTCATGCTCATGTAGAATTCTTCATGGGGCGAACAGAAATTTAGAACGCTTTTGAAACAGCAAAAATGTTTCAGATGAAATAAAATAAGAACCCTGGTTCTAGAATTTCCTACTTATATATCAGAAGAATAAGGAGAGGCCAGTGATGAATTCTGAAGAATTTAGGAAAAGCAGAAAGGTTAATATTAGGTCTCCTGCCCTACCCTATATTTCAGGACATGGATATTGTCTTGATCCCCAGTTTAAAATTGAATTGGCAACATTTGTGCTTTTTTTTTTTTTTTAAAAAAAAGAATGCTCCTATTTTGTCCATTGATTGTAACAGACTGTCATCGCTTATTAGCCTGCTTTTGTGGAATGCTGCTGTCCTGTAAAATTCCTGAAAAATGTGAAATGGCACAAATCTTTACTTCACACTTACACTGCTGTTTTCTTACTGCCAGAGAAACAGCTATTGTCTCCAAATCAAATCTGCTCAGCCATACTCTAAAAGACTTCTTTTGCTTTGGATACGTAGCCTTACCAGCAACAAAACACAAGCCTCCTATGCCTCTAATGAAGTTGAAGCGAAGTGTGGGGATGGCAAAGGCGATGATGGACAAGGCGAAGCAGATGCAGATGAGTACAAATCCAACTAAGAAAGTACCAGCTGCACCTCTACCCCAGGCTGGAAAGAAAAACAGAAAAGAAGGGTTCCGTCCTTTACTCTTTGTCCTGGCAAGATATAGCTCTAAAATATCATTCAGGAGGGGAGGGGAGGGCGCACATACCACATTCATTCCCCCATGTTTTAGGTAACAATGATTTATCAAATAAACCACAATTGGCTAGGTTCACATAACATATTAAGGCATTTGCCATGGCTTATCAAACATAATAGCTGGATTTCCATTATTTGCTACACTAAATCAACTGGCTCAGAACACTTAGTGAACTCCAACCATTATATCCATATAGTTTTATCTGTCAAGTGGACAGGGGGGCATCTAATTCATGGAACAAGTTCTTTGATTTTGAAGCAACTACAGTTTTAGTGTAAGCTGGTGGGACGCATTCATTTTTTTTCAGGCAACTAGGTTTGAGAGAGGAATCACTGCCTTTGCTGTTAGTCATCATCTCTTTCTCTCTGTTAAATAGGGTTTGCTGGGTTATTTTAATATTTCAGTAACCTGTTTGATCAGGGATGACTGTGGGACAGACAGAGAAACTTACTCAAGTTAATCCTGGTTCACATAAAATCTATTTCATGTCTTGCCATTAGTGAAGAATTTACAGCCCCAGTGACATTGATCTCTTTGGACTGCAAGTACAGAAGCAGCAGGAGTAACTTGAGAATGCAGCAGAGAAAAGAACATGTAAAATCTAAACCCTTAGCCATCTAAACACTTAGTAGTATTATTTATTTATTTATTTGTTTGTTTGTTTGTTTCAACTGGGATGCTCATCTTACTGAATTAATATATACAGATTAAATCCAGGAAAGATCCTGGCACGTCAAATGTCAAAAATATCTAGTTAAGAAGACTCCACTCGGAACTTGGCATTTGTAAAAGAATAGAAATCTTTATACAAAGCATCTTTCCAGATATTAAAGCTGGAAAGACCATACTGAAAGGCTGTGGGCAATGAATGGCTAATTGGGATTCTAGAGACTCAAATGCAGGAGATGTGTACCACTGCCCTGTTGAAAGAGCCCAGTTCATACAAGATAACTTTTCCACTTTTATCTGCGCAGCATTTTCACTTGGAATAGCAATTTTAAAATTCCTGAGTATATTCCTGAGATTTGGCCTGCCAATCTAGAATAAATAAATTGCTTAAGGGTTCAGCTGACAGTTTTATACTTTTCCACACATGAAAATATAACTGACTGTATAATAAATGATTGAACCTTATGACATAGTATCAACAGAGTATCTTTCACCGAAGGTATTTTAAACCTTTCATTGTTGAAGGTTTTTAAAAATCCTTCATTCCACTTCATTTGGTTTGCACCTTTCAAGCTTTCTGAGGCATACTTTGTTCCAAAGAGCAGCCAAAAAATAAAAATCTTCATGACATAACACTATTTCCAAAAAAAAGAAAAACATTGTACCCATTAACTAATACTTAATATGCTTCCAAAAATGTGTTTGCTGGAAACATTGATATCAGTACATTCAGAAATACTGTATACCATACAAACACCACGGCGTATAATAATGTAATTATCCTAGTATGTCAGTGTATACACCCATACAAACACCTTCTTAGATGTCAGGGCTGTCACCCATGAAAGAAATCAAAATCACCATTTTCAAAATTGTAAGTAATTATATTTACTGTTGACCAAGACAAAAGTAACAGCTACAAGTTCTCTAGCCTGGGTGTGTAAATAAACCAGAAAAAAAGGAAGGTGTGTCTTCATAGTATCTATTTTCACAACTGCTCTTTCTTACAATCAATTTCTTCTTTAAAAACACACACACACACAAACACATTACTAAGCATTTCTAAAATTTGGTGAAAAAGTTGGAAGCAATGATAACAAAAGGACCACTTGGGGCTCCATGTGCAAAAAAGTTATAGAGCATATGATGCCTCTCAATCCTTAATAGAACTTGCTGCCCCCCCCCCTCAAATTGCCTTGCAATCAATATCCCCATCACTGAGATCCTTACCAAATCCCATGAGAGATGTACATCGCCAATCATTTTCTAAAGAGCATAGCGTCCATAACGAGCCTCTGTTCACTACTGGAAACGTTTGTGAGGTTATCCAGCCCCAACCAACTAGTGCAATGATGCCAAAGATCATTGCTAGGCCCAGCAGAAGAGGCAAGATCCATCTGCAGCGGGTGTAATCCAGACCATACTGTACCATCTTGCTGTTGGGTCTTCTCCAGTCACTTAAATGGTAAGCAAAAAGGTCTTCCTGCAATTGTTTTGGTGGTCTGGGAAAAACAGGATGAATAAAGTGTGTGTGAATGGAAAAGAGATAGAGCAATAAAGAAAAAGAAAGAAAGAAAAGCAGAGACAGAGAGCAGCTTTGTGATCCAGGCAGGCCCTAAAGAAAACTCCACCTAAATTTCTATGAGCAAGTCACTACAACAACCTGCTGATCTGGAAAGAAAATTTAGGGTTGGGACTATGCTCATTTTAGAACCTGTCTCCTCCTTCTTTGTCAGCTACTAATTAAGGTAAATATAGATTATATCCATTGCCATTAGTATTTAATCTATTCAAGGCAGTAGCATTTCACAACAAAGGGCAATGAAGTGTTTTTGAAAAGAGCAATGAAATATGCTCTTAAAGTAGTCCCAGTCTTTCAAAAAATTACTGAACAAATTGTTGAGATTCCCACAGTTTAACTCTAGGAGTCTGCACAGCCAAAACCAGTATTAAAGCCACAACTGGGCATTACAACTGTGGAGTAATTTTTATTTCAAAGCAAAGAAGTTCTAGCTTTGTATCAGTTGAATAGTCATATTTTCTCCAAAGATGCTTGAGAACTGCATTGACAGAAAAGGCTTAGGGTAGTGTGTTGAGTGATTGATTATGTGACATCAAGTTGTACTATATCAATTTAGCAACACATAGATAGACCTCGAGGAAGCATTCAGTATTGGGGATATTATATTTTCCAACATTCTGTGGGAGGCATATGACAGTCGTCTCCAGTCCTGGAACTATAATTCCCAGAACCCCTAGGCAGAATTGGCCATGCTGGGAGTTGTAGTTCCAGCTCATTGAGAGGGCACAAGGTTGGGAAAGGTTAAATGGGCAATCAGAGGCTACCAAATCTAGGTTCCAAAAATCCAGAAGACAGAAAATTCTAATTCTTTGCTGCCATCCAGTGATTGTCCAGATTTTGGCAGCCTTGATTTGGTAGTCCTACATAATCAGCTACATTAAGAGGGCTACATTTACCATTGGGGATGGGAGAGGACTGAGAGCCATGAAGTGGATGGGACTAGGTTTGTTTGTTTCATTTTAAAATAGAAGACAATATCCTAATTTTCATGTATTTCTCAACTCAAGGGTGGAAAATTGTGACCAGCAGAATCCTGACCTCAGGGTGTTTTGGGTGTGTGTGTGATGTGACAAAAGGTGGCCTGCCTCTTTTTACTTTTATCACTGTTGCACAAATGTACAAAAGATGCAGGGCTTGGACTGGGATGTCATGCCCACCATCTTGCAGATTTTGACCCTGCACCCCACAGACACCCATGATTGTGCCATTCATTTTCAGCAATCAGGTTTAGAGTAGGCTGAAAGGCCACATAAAAGAAACTCAGGTTGCTCAGTTCTGAACTACAATTTCCCAAGCTTAAGGGTAAATCATATCTTGAGTGTGTGTCAGTACATTGCATGTGATCCCAAATTGGTGGGATGATCGCAAAAATTTGCTGTGTTTTGTGTCTCTGGATTAGGATTGTAATTTAGATTAGAGATCCTAGAATACCATGAACATGCTTTGGGTAACACTAGGCTTTATTTCTCCTGTGGATTACTGATGGGTACTGATCCCTTACCATTAACATGGAATGCTGCAAATGGCACAGGTACAATTAAGATTGGTAACAATAATATACTTTGTCTAGCTTAATACAAAGGTTTATGGGAAAATCTCAATTGACCAAAGCTGTAGTGGGCAGTGGAAGTCAATATCTGTTAGTCCGCCTGGTGACAGCCATAGCATGTGGAAGACTGCAACTTGGAATGTAAGAAGAGTAATTGATAAAGGAATTAAATGAAATATATGCTGTATGTCTGTGAAACTAAAAGAACAGGATACAGTAGATTTAATGAAAGTGGTCAGACTGTGTGGAGTGTAGGGGATGTAGGAAAGTTAAAGTGCATGTTTAATTATGAATGAAAGGAATAAAATGTAATTAAGCATGGATGGGTGTTGAAAAATGTTGTGTAATGGAAGTAAGTATTCATAGGTCGCTGATAACTGTGTTTTACACTATAGCAAATAATGATAATGGAAGAACCAAGATGGAGCAATTTGTGCAACATTTATAATGAATGAGATGAGGGGGGAAATATTATGTGTTAGGTGATGTAAGTGCATGGGTGGGAATGAGACAAGATAGTACATTCAGACATTCAGCATGATTATTGTTTTGGTGGGTACCTGCTTAGAAAAAGGCCTGTTTGTTTTGAATATGTGATTTAAACATACATACATATGGCAAAGGAATGAATATAAATTTAAAAGCATGATTGATTTGTTTTCTTTATGGTGAAAGATATAGAGTACTAGATACAGAATATGAGAGGTTCTGAATGTGAGATGGACCATGTTTTGGTAGTACCAAGAATAAATCTTGGGGAAGAAATATATACGGAAGAAAAGAAAAGAAATCAAGGAAAGCAGAATAAAAGTAAAAACTACTGTAGGAGTAATACAGAAAGTATGGATCTTACATGAAAAAGTATTAGAAGATAACTTCATCTCCCAGCTGAATGAATGGAAAATGAACCACTGAAAAATGATGTGCAAGGTGGTTGGAAGAGAATGGGAAAATATTTTAGAATGCCACAGAATTGTCTGGAATTACATTAATGGGAAGCATGAAAATTATGCTTAATGGAATGATAAAATGAAAGAGGCAGTGAATGAGGAAAAAATGCATACAGGTAGTCCCCAGTTTAAGAACAAGGTGGGTTCCCAAGGTTTGTCCTTAAGTCGAATTTGAATGTAAGCCAGAACAGTATTATTGTATAATACTGTATAAGTAGTATTGTGTAATTAACTTGAAGCGTTGTGTATTTAACTCAAATTTTGCTACAGTAGGCTCCCTTCTTAACTATAGGTCACCCTTAAACTGGGTGTTCTTAACTGGGGGACTAAGGCTGCAAAAATGAGGATGAGAGAAAGATAATGTGTATAGACAGACCAAAATACTTGCAAGAAAAGTAGTCAAAAGAGAGCAAGGAATGGATAAGGTTAAAAGAGGAAGAAAAAATGCAAAGAGATTTTGATGGAAATAAAAAATGGTTGTGAAGTGGTTAAAGAGGTCTAAATTTGAGGCAGCACCGTTTGGGACAGTACAGTTTTCTGGAAGTCCCTCAAGACCTGGCTTTGCCATCAGGCCTGGGGGTTTCAGGGGACCGGTGAGGTCTTGAGGTGGCTCCCTTGTTAATGTAATCTCTTATGTGCCTTTTTAATAATGATTGTTTTCCTGACATGTTTTATTGTTTTATATCTTTGTTGTACACTGCCCAGAGCCACTTCTTGTGAGATGGGCAGCTATATAAATAAATATATAAATGAGGAGTCTCCAACAAAATGAATGGAATTAAAAATAAAAGTAATGAAATACACAATACACAATATTCAGCAACAACAAAACTTTATTGATTCCAAGCAAATCAGCAAAGATTGTACTCACTCTTCATACATACCCCCCCATCCCCCCAGCCAGGTTGACCAACGTGAGCATCAGTTATTGGAGAAAACAGCTACGTAGCAAGATGAAAGGGTCCACATGAAGGGCTCTTCCAGCAAGCCTAGATTTTTCAGCATGTATCAAAGACCAAGGTTGCTGTGTTTGACAGGGAAACTGGAGTGAATGATTACAGATTATCCATAATAGTGAAAATCAGAGCAAGTAGATTAATTTGTGGTCCATCTATTGCATTTCATTCCTTCTTAGCCACTGCTTTTGCTTGGATTACCTATTGTGCCTGTGGTGGAACACCTCCTTCCCTCTGGCCACTGGTCAAGCCCTCCATGGCCATTTTGTCCCAAACTGCCAGGCTGCCATCTATCCTGGGGAGGTTCAGGCTGGACACCAGGAAGAGCTTCCTAATTGGACCAGGCTGCTACACAAAGTAGTGAGTTCTCCTTCAATGGAGGTCTTCTAACAGTGGCTGGATGGTCAACTGTCAGAAATGCTATAAGGAATACTGCCCTGACCAGGAGGTTGGACTAAATGACCTCTAAGCTTCCTTCCAATTGTATGATAACTGTGCTTTCGTTTCTTCTGGCAAACACACCCTTGGTTCCATATAACAATGGGCAGAAGCATGTTCTCATTTTTACTTCATTCCTCACCACAGACCACATACTATTGACTACCCTCCTACTAGCATTTGCAAGTCTTCAAATATCTTCATCCATTTTCCCATTATACCAAGGTACATAAATTCATCTATTTGGTCTGATTTTTCAATATTTATGTTGTGCTGGCTCAGGTTAGAAAACAGTAGTTTTGAAGTAGAGCAGAAAGAGGAGGTTGTGTTTATGGTAGGCTGGTGGTGGATCAAGAACAACACCATTCATTTATGCCCTCCAGAAACAGTTGGTGGGCTGTATTCACAATGGGGTAACTTGGCTGCTAATCAGCCTTGTTAGACAAAATTATTTCCCTGACTGGTATATATTTTTTCACCCTTAAAAAAAACAAACAAAAAAACAACAACTACTGGAGCCAAATCTGTCCCGAGGCAATAGCTGCTGAGCTTAAAAACAAGGAATGGTAGCCAAGTTGACAGATTCCAATGTTTTTTTTTTTAAATACTTCTGATGAAACATTGAGGGCAAGTTAATATAAAGCCAAGCACCTCTCTCAAGGTTAGATCAGAGACTACGTTTAAGAATTATAAAATGCTGGGTATATGGGGTAGCAGTACAAAATATGAACAAAATAGAAAACCAATATGTTAGTTGTATTGCAGGGGCATCCCCAGGAGAGGGCCCAAAAAGTCAAGATAGTGACCACAATCATGCAATCAAAACCCTACCCCTTGATAATGTGTATATAAGAGAGTGGGCAGCTATAATAAATTTGAAAAAAGGAGGAGGAGGAGGAAGGGTGAGCTTTGATCACAAGGTCACATCTTCCTTTTTGACTTTTTGATACCTTATGG